GGAAGGTAGCAGTGTATTCCTTGCATATAGCTCTGTTGCGCATATTTTCCCTTTGCTTGTTTCCTCTTAAATCTTCTCCTCCTTACGTGCTTTGTTGCTGAGAAGTCTTCTGCGCTTCTTTTTTTGTACTACAAAAGAGCAAAGCCGAGTTAGCAGAACTCACTTTAAGTAAGAAAGTACTAAAAGGCTTAGATCAAGTAGTGGTGCTCGGATAGAAATCTGCTGCTCGCAGAGTTGGGAAGCGTATCGAGTGAGCCGGGGAAGTTACAGCTGCTCAAATTATACTGAGTTGCCACTGAATTGCATTGTATACTGCTGCAAATGAGTGTGAGGTGTACTACGTACAGCTGCTCAGAGTTAGCAGGCAGAATCTTGCCAGGCAGTAAGGTGGCGGACCCAACGGTGAGTTTGCTCCAGCAGCTGCCTGCAGTGCAGGGACACCCAGGGTTCGTAAGATCTTCCCACTGCCGCTGTATCCTAAGAGCCAGCCCAGGCAGAGGGGGACCTTCTGTGCAGCATCCCTCTGAAAGGTCGTATTTCAGCATCAGATCCTAGTCTATGTCTGCAGCAGACCATATCTTGTCTGGGCAACTAGCACCAAGAGAGCTGCTGCAGAGCTGCTGTTTTCACTGTTTCTGTTAGATATTGAAAGCGTAAGAAAAAAGCTATTCTGATGCCTTGATCTTCTAGGGCAAAGGTTTCTGGGCCTGTGTTTCACTTTCTTTCACCCGCAAAGCTGACTTCATCCTTCTAGACCAATAGAAGGCTTTGCTGCAAGGAGATCTTGTTGTCTTTGGGACTTTAAAGGTCTTGTTATAGAGGACAAACTGGCCAGAGGCCTTAGCTGTGCTTAGTCAGTCTGCCTCTTTCCACTGGCTACTGAGCAATTGTTGATGGACTTCATCCTGCAGTTTAGCCCCCTCCTCCCCTGCATTTAACATGGAGTTATTGATGACAGCGTCCTAGGAAATACCATTTACTGAAGATTGACAAGGTATTAGAATTAAAGCCCCACTTAGATTTGGCTTGGGTTTTTGTTTGGGGTTCTTTGGGACTAGCGAGGGGGGAAATCAGTCAATCTGTTTATATGAGAGGCGTTATTAGTGTAAGTCATTGTAAAGACTAAAGCTTCAGCTCACATCGGTCAGGAAAACTTCACTGGTGTCAGTAGAGCAAGCTGGGTGAGGCTCATGGAAAGCTTCCCGCATCACAATCAAATTTGGTTAGATGCTACTCGATACCTCCTGACATTGGTGAAAAGCTTAAACTGTGCTCCTGGCCTTGGCTAATAGTTTAAACTGCGTTGTTGTGGGGACAGATTTTCAGCAGTTTCTGTCCTCTGGGTTTAAGGAAGAGGTTTCCTTTAAGTGAAATGAAATTTTCCTGAGGAAAAGGTGCATTTGTAGATATTTTAAAGCTGAATCTTCCTTGATGTGTCGGTCATTTTTAAGGGTAATGACTAGCCTGGGGAATGCTTATTTCGGTGCATTGCTCACATCTGAGAGTGACACAGCGTTCCTAACTTGTGACAGAAACCCAGGTCACACAGTTTGGTTTTTCTGAGCCAGAAGCCAGCAAATTCGTAGACATCTGTGCTGGCCACTAGTAACTGATTTCAAGACGATTTTGCAGACTGAACGATCTGAAAACTCTTCAGAGCCATTTGAGCTTGGAGGTCGTTCAGTGAGAAAATAGCACCACCTACTGCAAGTACTCAGTCTTGGATGTAGAGTTAAATAGTAGGAGTGGCTTCTTGAGTTTTGCTTTTAATCAAAACTGTATATTCCTCCTGTGTCTGTTTCACGCCATCTAGGGTTTCTTTATAACCAAAAGCAGCTTGTTTTGTGTTCTACTACAATATGCCGATTTAGAACAGGCAGTATTTGTTAAGTGGAATTCTTATTAAAAATTAAAATCAAAACTTGTCATTCAACATACAACAGTGATTCAAATAATAACTTCTTTAACAGGCGCTCGTGAGACATCATAAATTCTGGTTCCTAAGACTGATGTACTTAGTGCTCTGCCAAATTACATATTAACCTTATTATGTTAGTGATTACAGACCAAGCAGAGGTCAGGTCCTCGTGTGTGCTTAGTACAAATGTAATAAACAGCCGGTTTTGGCTTGAGGAATTAAAAGTAGGCTCGAATTCAAAGAAAATCTAATTTCCCTAGGCATAAGTAATAGCTAGAAATTGGATGGGTTTGGTACGTTATTTTTCAGCTATTGGGAACTTAACTTATGTGATCCACGATCAGGTTGGGCTCAATGTGTCAAACAAGGGTGTCTTCCATAAATGATGTGGCCTTTTTTCCCTGTTTCACTGAGAAAAGTGTATGGGGTTTTTTTTCCCTAATTTCATGAAGCAATGCGTGTGATATATTGGTGGGGAGAAGGGTTCCGTCTTTCTAGTGAGACCGATTCCTGCTTTTTTAATGTATCGGTTAGAATATTGATGAGAAGAAAATGTTTAGAAGAAGAGGCCACTTAGATTGTTGGGGTGAGGAGGCAGAGGGAGAGTACAGTCTTTTGCTGGACTTACCTGAATGGCGTTAGCAGTTGGGATATCGCGGGCTGGAAGCACAGAATGTCACCCAGAACAGAAAGCTGTCAAAATCTTTGTAAGATCAGTACTGGAAATGATGTCTTCACTTGCTTGGGCAGGGGACTTATTCCAGTGTTTTGAGAGTGGAAGCGGGGAGGCTGTTCTTCCCTACTCCGTGGGCATCTCTATGCTTGTCATTGCTTGGAATTAAAAAATAAAATCAAAAAGAAGAGCAAAACTCTTGAAAAATTCTGTAAATTATAACTTCTCTTCAGCCTTTGGAGAGGGTTTTGACACGCCGTGATGTCAAAGAAGCATTTAACTCTGCGTTCCCTTGTTTTCCTAATGTGCGGGGTTGTTTCCAGCCCCTTGGGGGGCTGCAGACCATACCTTTGCTTTACTATATTTGACTTTTCCATACAGCTTGGTTTTAGAGCTCTCAATAGCACCTTAACATTTGGATCTATATGTCTCTCACTCTGAAGGACAGATGTAACTGCAGTCCAAGCAGGAAATTTTAAAACAAAAATTAAACCTTGCCCCCAAGCCTTTCTGTTGCACCCTACCGGGAACTGAAGCAGTCAGCCATCTGTTTTCACAGGTCAGCCTGTGTTAGGAGTGCATCTTTGGGTTTGTGCAAGATACCTGTGGTTAGATTGACTTCTCTAATTTCACAGCTGCGGAAACCCCACTGTCCCCCGCATCCCTCCTAATCGATACAGTAACATCCCGACCGTGGAGAAGGATTGTCCTTCGCTTGTTTCCCTCTTCACAGAGGCAAGCGAGTGCGTTTTGCCACCACCACCACCCCCCAAAGCCAAGACATTTTGGGTTGGCTTTCTTTTGGTTATTGGGGTTGCTCTAGTACCGTCCACCTACCTTCAGCTACACTAGTAAATACTTTCTAACTCTGACTGGCATGAAAATTGGTGAAATGTCCTAGGCGGAATGACTACATTTTACCCAGTGTAATTGAAGCGGTCCTGGGCCTGATGATTCTAGAGTGAAACTTTGGTTGTGATTAGCGTCTGACTTAGCCCAAAGGCTGTCAGACCAGCTTGTGTGTCTTTAGCTCGTTATAAATGGTGCATCGTCTCCTTCTCCAGAGCTGAGATCCAAGCTTTAAAAATGATTAAACGGTGATTCTATCCTGGTGTTTCTTCTCCCCACATCTTTAGAGGTGAGCCACATTCCTTCTTTGTGTGCAAGGCTGTTGTCAGTAACTTTATACTTCCTTCTGTGCCTAACTCCAGCCTTGCCGCTGTGAAGGGCTCTGGGTCATGAAGATCCAGTTGCACATGCAGATGTCACTGACCACTTGAGGGGCCAATAAATTGGTCTTATTGTAAAAGAGGAATGGTTAATATTGAGAGAAAACATCCTTTGTAACACAGGATTTCAGTTTGTCTTTTCGTTTAGCTTTCAAAATATGTAGTACTTTCTACGTTTGCTTACCTGGTTTGCATCCTGATATACTTAGGTAGCTGTACCAAACGTTACATGGTTTTGGGTCCCTCTTTAATAGTCTCTTTGACATCTTTAGAAGCTAAGAGTAAATGCCACTCAGGCCCCAAAGTCCCTGTCTTGTAGGTGAGGCCTGGATCACAGTGGAGCAGAGTGGAATGTTTAAAGGAACCAGCTAGGCTTTTTTTGCATTGAACGGCTTGGCAATCAGAGCTTAAGTGACTTACCTGGCAGTACACTTGAAAGCCTGTGGCAACACTGAGAATCATGGCCCGTTTCAATCCAGGCTTTTCCTCTTCCTCGCTGCCACGTTGAGCCTCTACTAGTAGGGAAGCAAATCTTTTCTTTCTGACTGAGGCTGTGGCTCAACGGGACAATGGAAGTTTACAGACAATCCAGTGCGTAGTGAAGCCAGCGGGAGCCTTTCTCCAGCTTCAGCTAGGTCTGGGCTAAGGCATGGTTCAGCGCCATTGATGTCCCATTGATGCCCCAGTTGTCTTGGACAAAGAAAGACAATTCTTTAGTCAGGATAGGGCAGCCATAGTCATCTAAGTGCGTTTTGAGAGGGAGGGGGTCGGAAATGTTACGGAAGGAGGAAAACAAAAGAGCAAAACCTCACTATGGCATCACTCAGATTTCTGGATGATAAAGTCTTTAGTGCATCTGTTACCGAGGTGTGTTCCTGTGACCTAGTTTGTTTCCTGAAGTCAAAGGAGTAGTAATGTGTGAGGAAAAGGAGCAGGAAATGTATGAGTATTTCTGGATGGAGATAGGTATTACAGACCAGACTGAAAGTGTGTGATTTACGGTCACCAGTTTACCAGCTTGGTTATTTTTCTGAATAGTGACCTAAACCTGTTCCCACAGCGCTGCGTGAAAATTTCCCGTGAACTTAACATATAACCTAGAAAGTAATGTGCTCGGTCCTTTCTCTATAGCTTTTTGAAATGCCCATATTCTTATGTAAGTATTTCTTCTTCTAGGGAGCCCTGAAAGCCAGGAGATGTACGTTTTTAACTTGACGTCACTCACCGAGTCTGAAAACGTCTTGTCAGCTTCGGTGTATTATTATATTGGTGATCTGCTGCACGCTAAGTGGAACTGTTCCCAATCCAGAGGCTGTTCTCGTCACGGGCACAGGGAGGCTGAAGTTCAGATACATCTTTCAGTTTGGACCTTTCCTTCTGTTGGGAACCACACTCGGAGCCTGGGACATTTCCTAATAAATGTCTCCGCTGCTTACCAGGATGTCCTTTCCTGGCAGTGGAAGGATATCACTCATCTCCTTCATGAAGCAAAACAAAACAATGAACTCCTGATCAGTGTCAAAATGGATCTGACCAGCCATCACCCCTGGAAAAGGGCACCTTCTCGCTATGAACCCTACATTCTGATTTATGCCAATGATTCTGCTATTTCAGAGCCAGAGAGCGTTGTCTCTAGTTTGCAAGGGCACCGTCATCCTCTGGCAAGGGTCTTTTCCAGGCCAGAAAATCACGTGAGGAGCAGCCTCGGGAAGCAGCGGCGAAAACGCTCCACCAACGTCCTGTTGCCGTTGCAGAATAATGAGCTTCCGGGAGCAGAGTACCAGTACAATGAGGATGAGAGATGGGAAGACAGAAAACCCTACAAAACCTTCCAGCCACGGTTAGCAGAGAGGACAAAGAGTAAGAAAAAGCAGAGGAAGAATCATCACCAGAAGAGCCAGACTCTCCAGTTCGATGAGCAAACGCTGAAGAAGGCGAGGAGGAAGCAGTGGAATGAGCCAAGGTATTGCGCCCGGCGTTACCTCAAGGTGGATTTTGCAGACATTGGCTGGAGTGAGTGGATTATTTCCCCTAAATCCTTCGACGCCTATTACTGCTCAGGGGAATGCCAATTCCCAATTCCAAAGGTACCGTCTTTATTGATTCTTTTGCACTGTCTGTTACGGTAAACTATGCATTTTCTTTCCTGCGTCAGCAAAAGGCAGCTGGTCACCTGTTACACGTTCGGATCTAGTAAAGAAGCGATATCTTTGTCTTGTGCTGCAAGGAGTAGTGGTTAGAACAGCTGGTAAAAAGATAGACTTGTAAAGGTAATTAAAAAAATATTACATGGTATTAGTTTTTTGTCCAGAACCCAAATTGCCATAAAACATTTCCTGAATAGCGCTTATGATGTGTGAACTTGTTATTAACCTGTTTAATAAACATAATACAAGCCAGATCCAGAAAATGGCTTATTAGACAGTAGTCGTTAATGCCTCGAAGGAGTGTCTGCTGCCGGACCCCCTCTCGGGTCAGTCAGCATAGCACACTCTAGGAAAAACCTGTGCCTTAGGAGGCACGACTGTCACAATGACAAAGAGACTCTGTGGAGCTATAGGAGCGCTTGGGATGCTCTAAGTGTAAGCAAGAGAGTTAAATTAATCACCTCTGCGCAGGCCAAGTGGATCCAAAAGCAGTGGCCGACTGACTTTTGAAATAGCCTCTGTTTTTTATGAGATCGTTGCACATGAGTGGCAAGAAAGGGTGATGCGCTCCTAGCCCTGTGGCTTAGGTGGATGAGCTCAGCTCCTTAAAATCAAATGCCCAATGGCATTATTAGCATTATATGGACCCCCCTGGAGTCTACCGAAACCTGAAAGTAGGATGTGGTATTTGAGGCTGGCCTAAAATGAGGGGTATGCACAAATAATGCCTACAGGAAATGTCAGTAAAGGTAGGGCTTTTGGTCTCACTGTAACCTCACGTTCAAGAATCTTTATTCCTGCCACAGTGAAGCCTTAGCAGTTAGTTGCGAAATTTATGTGGCATTTCAGTGGCTTAAGGACCCAAGGGAGTCACCCTTTGAAAATGACAGGTGGAGAAATGTACCAAAGGGGATGGAACCCAGAGAAAGCAAGCTGAGGAAGGCAGGAGTCTTTCTTTGAAGGACATGACGACTTACCTGACTGCCTCTAACTGCAATGGCAGGCTTTCAGGTTTTGGATTAAAGGAAAAAATGAAGGGGAACAGGAAGAGATAAGAGTCATTACCTTTGAATACATTGCATTGGGCCTTTTACTTTACTGTTAATGGGAACTGTGCTCTGTCAAACCAGTAACTCGGCATACAGGTTAGATATTTTAAAAGCGCCGGTCTTGGACTTCTTCCATTCTAACTTTAAGGACACATAAGTTATAAAAATGCCTGCTGTATCCCTCTGCTTAAGACTGGGTTAGCATTTCTAGTTGCAGCTTTAGTTAGAAAAACTTCATCCCAACCATAAAAGAGTGTCGCTCTGAGGTTTTTTTAGGAGAAAATGGTACATGATACTTAAACCAGAAGAGTTAAAGTACTCCAGTTCAAAGGAGTAAAAAAAAAAAGTGTCTCCAGTTCAGCTGATCCTGGCCCCTAAAATATTCTTCACTTAAAATGAGATGCCTGCTATGGGCTACCATTGGTATTACAAAAGAAACAAAGCAAAGAGTCAAGTACGCGTCAGACAATCAGTGATTCTACTGGAGGACAATTTCAGTCAAGTTCTGTATTTCTGATGATAAGAAAAATGTGTAGCAGCTTCTTAGAAAGGCTTCAAGATATCTTGTCATAAGTCAAAAAGTGTTTAGGTTCCCGTTTCATAAGGTTATTGGGTCTGGCTCTTTTCGGCTCTCAAAGTAGTAAATGACAGCTGAGGTGCTGATGAACTCGCGGGATCTAGCTCTTGCTAGAGAATAACCATTTCAACCCAGTCACTAGAAATCTTTTTTCCATTTGGCAGACATACAAAATAGGTTTCTACCTTCTGAGGCAGAAAAGCTCTCTTTTAATGGTCAATACTTAGCATATATTTCAGGGTTAGCCAATGCCTGATGCAGAGACTGGGAAGAACCCCCCTTTGCCTGTAGGAGAGTCTGGATCAAAGCTCAGATTGCTCAATAATGTGCACGCTCAAGAGCAAACAAGGCTTTCTCAGAAACAGGTTTGGATGTAGTGGTTTTAGAAGCCCTTGTTACTGGTCTCTCCTTGCTCCGACTAAAATCTATTCCTGCCGAGAGCTGATGGGAAATAACAAATTTAAGACAGAAAGCAAGTCTCTTGAAGAGCTGAGGTGAGACTTTGAGGACACAGATTCTCCAGCAGCAAAAAAGCATAATGTATCTTCATGGAGATGAAGAAACTCTCAGAAACCCGAAGTAGAGTAATGATAAAGAAGCGCTGTAATAAAAAGGTTCATATTCCTTACACAGAGCCTTTGTTAGCACCTGCAACCGGGCAATCCCTGATGTGCTCCGTAACCTCAGGGCTTAATTCCCAGAGTAACTTCCAACCTCTGGAAAGAAACACAATGAGCCGTACAAATGCTCCCTCAAGTAAAGCGTCCTGAGATGAGTTTAGCACCAGTGGTTCTGAAGAGGCAAGATGAAGTTGAAGTTTAAACTTACGTTTGACGCTCTGAGGCATGAGAGGGAGGTACGAACAGTGCACACAGCTGAAGGGCAGTTAACAGGTATTGCTTGGGTGAAAGAGGAGTTCCAGCTCTGTCTGCGAGTTATCCGTCTTTGGGTAATTCCCCTGAGGTATTATACTGGGCATCACAAGTTTTTCTAACATATAGAGCCAAATTTTTTTTCTGCCAAATTCAGGTTCTCCTTTCCTGCAGATAGTAGCATTGGCCTCTGAGACTTCGTAGTGTAGCTCCATCTTCTCAAATAAATAGACTTGCAGTATTGGCTACTGTTACCATGGTAACTAAGTCTAGCAGTCCCAAAGGAGTGTTCTTCCTCCTCCTCTTCATCCCTCTGCTCTGCCTGGGATAGAGACGTACACATTATCGGAAGTGGTGCCTGCCCTGGAAAAAGCTTATAGTAGAAAAAAAGTGAGAAATAAACCCGAGGAGACACGCGTAGGCAAATGTCATGGTTTAACCTCAGTTGGCAGCTGAGCACCACCCAGCCGCTCGCTCACTCCCCCTCCCCCCGGTGGGATGGGGGAGGGAATCAGAAGAGTAAAAGTGAGAAAACTCATGAGTTGATATAAGAACAGTTTAATAATTGAAATAAAATAGTAATAATAATAACAATAATAATAATAAAAGAATATATAAAGCAAGTGATGCACAATGCAATTGCTCACCACCCACCGACCGATGCCCAGCCAGCCCCGAAGCAGCGGCCCCCCCGCC